ATGTAAATCACACATCCATTAAATTGAACAGTTTCCAATTAAGCGTCGAAAAACCAAAACCAAAGTATTCACTTTGGCCAATCACAAAGGACCCAGAAAAGACAGTGAACCAATCAAAACTCGAAGCACATATAAGTAGCTCAGGAGAAGCGCGGGTACACGAGTGCGAGAGATTGGATGACTAAGTGGAGGGTGTCTTTTAAACCTGTCACTCAGCGTAGCAATGCAATATCAAAGCAAATACCAATTAATATTGAAACTCACATGAAAACTGCTCCATGATCTTATCATGAACATGTTGGTACTGTGAAAGAATTCCGCAGAGGAAAATACATCTACCCTTCCACTGTCACAGCATGTGCATACAATTAATGTCAGCCAACGACATGTTCAGCTGCCACGCGTGAAACGTGTGAGCCACGTGCACGAAAGGATGGCGAGATAAATACTTTTTGCCGTTATTATCATCATCGTTTCTTGATTTCAAATAAAGCATATTTCGTAAATTCCCAAGTATAGGAATCCTCAACTCTTACGGTTTTAACAAATAAAAGTCCAACGTCTTTGAGTCCTAGACTTTAAGTCTTGAGAATGGCACGAATGCTGATAACGAGCGTGTAAAACGCGTTAGACAAACAAGTTGTCAAATTTGACCTTCCACTTGCCATCTTTCATCTCTCTGTACTTTGCTGGTCTTCTGTGCTTCCTTTTCGAGTTTTGAGCAAGTTCGTCAAGAAAAACTCTCCTGTTCAAAAAAAGTAATAATAAATATTTTACATGGACTGAGCTACATTGTAGAGCCGTTTTCGTAGGATCTTCGTATAACACTTCAAAGTGTTTCCGTTTCGTATTACCCAATCAGAAAATAGCGCGAACACTCCCGAGAACACGTCATCATCACGACAGAACAGTACGTCGTGTTGCGACGAAAACCGCAGGGTTAGGATGTTACTAGGCAAAAACACTGGGCCCGGTTGTAAGTGTGAACAAAACAAACTAAGCAGTAGAGAGATTTATTGGGTGGTTAACGCCTTTCTTTGAGCAACAGGGACCAGATGGTAAACTGCCGACGTAAAAATGGAGTATTGCGAAAGAAAACGAAGGTTGCTAACAGTATGGGATACAAAATTTAAAAAACGTCATCCAGCAGTAAAACACGTATGCCTATTCAATAAGAACCCAAAGCTACCTACAACAGGATGTTTTCCAAGATAATCGAGATTCGCAGGGGCTTGGAAATTGTTTATACTACAGGACTTACTTTACTAAAGGAAAACAATCATGTCTGTTCGTCTGTTTGTTACACGTAGCTAGTTAGTTAAAATGATTGTTTTTATTAAACTAATTTTTATCTAATTTCTACGCATATTGTAAGGTTCACAGATTTTTCATTTTTTTTATTTTTAGCAGGGTCTCTATTGATAGCAGTTTTATTCATACAGCTGATAGAGTTACCAAGAAAAATAAAGGTTTACTGACTTATTGTTTGAATGTCTGTGTTGGAGCGCGAAAAGGGTAACAGAGTATGTAGCTTTTTACTCACCCGCTTTGTAAGAGGATCGTACAAGTGGTCCGCTCGCTGTATACGCAAAGCCGAGCTCATTTCCAACCGACTCCCAGTGTTTGAACTTCTCAGGTGTAATGTACTCAGTGACCTAAACAGGAAATAAAGAAAGCATTAGATAAAATAAAGCTAACTCGAGGCATAGGCAATGCCTGAACACCTACGCGCTTATGTATCAGCAAGCTAAATTACTATACGTAGAACAGACCGCTAGAAGTCCTGATACGGGAAACGCTTGAAATGAAATTTATGACTTCCTAAAGATATAACTAAGGCCCTATTTCCGTTGTGGGGAATAGGACATGACCGTTAAAGATATAACTAGTTTCTTGGCTATCTGCGTGAAAGTTACGTTACCTTAAGATGTAGCCTTGTTGGTTGCATGTACTGTCCTAATGTCACGCAATCTACATTAGCTTCACGGAGATCTGTTAAGCAAAGGGTAGATTAAGTAAAAGCAAGTGACACGATTTAGAGTAGACATGACTACTTTCTCAGGAATTTCTTCATGCTAAAATAAGAATCCATACACAGCCACACTCTGCCGCCACACTCCACCTCCCACCTTCTCCTCCC